CCGAAAATCGTGCCGCTACGACAAAATGAGATTAAAAATATAGTTTGACTCCTTAATAATATGAAATTGTGCAGCCCACGGGTGTTTTTCGAATTCTGCCACTTTTATACTACTATTGGGTTTTCAGTAGATGGGGTTTTTCGATAATCATCCGTTTCGGGTGAAACGTGAGCGTTCCTTACTAGAGCTCTCCTATGTTTTCGCATCGTGACTAACAAGAGCAACGAGGACTCCTCAATGGCCAGTTCTGTCTTCTTTGTTGACTTCAGTCAGCAGGTCAAAGTGGGATAAACTCTAACCCTGGGTTTTCTGTGTTCCGTCCTGTGTACCCGCAGGCTCACCGGAGGACACCAGCCTGGTCATTTGATTGTTACCAAATGCATTCGGCAAAAAGAGCAGTTGTTACGTCATGGTAGGGCCTTTGAGTGTTAACCAAGGGAATACCAGGTCTTTCTAGGTGGACTGACTGAAAAATTATGGGCTTCTTCTTTTGGCAAACCTGCTTCGACTCGCATGTTTTTCCTTCCGAATTTTCTCGCGTTTTGTTTTGCGACAGCCAGGATTTGTTTAAACGTGTCACTATACTTATGTTTTAGGTGTGCAGCCTCCGTCGGAAGTCGACATCCTGCCTTTGTGGAGGTTTGCGTTTCGAGTCTTCTCCGAACGCACCCCTGGCTAAGTGATCAGGAACCCTTTCGCGAGGATCCAGCCTACATCACTGTTCTCCTCTTGGTGCTAAATGCTCTACCCGGAGCCCCTGGCATGAAAGCACACTTCCCGCGACATCTAGCTGCCTCGAGGGTACTTTTATGTCAGTTTTACGACTACTATTCATCACTTAGTAGTATACTTATTTTAAATGCTATATTTCTGGTTTGTGTCACAGGCCTACCTCGCAGAACTTGTTCCCCATCTGCTCACCAACATTGATGTGGACTTCTCCTCTGGAGTCAAACCCTCAACCAACTTATGTATTCCTGCAAAGGTAAATTAAATGTGCATAAAAAGACATTTTCATTTTGTTGTTGCTCGCAAAATGCTCTCTACCGGCTCTTATTCCTCCCTAGCGTCCGTGTCTAGAAGAGCGTCACGCGACGCCCTCATTGGAACGCACTCAGGGCTTGCTCAACTTTCTCGCCTCAAGTCTTCTGATGGTGCGTAGCTTGCTGGATGAATGTGTGCGTCTGTTGCTTGGGTCTCAGAGCAGTGGTGCTCTAGTCAAGACCGAAAGTGCATCGAACCTGGATGTGATGTGAGTCGTTTTTAACTTGCCCTGCCACGCCTTTTCTACCTATACGCCGCATATTGCCAATACCCCTTTCGGTATATTTTAGTTTTTTTGATGAGGGATATAGGGAATGCCTTTAAAAACAGTATTGATTACATGCCGGTGCGTCATATACATAT